GAAAGTATAAACAGGCAAAAAGAATTTATAGCTCAATGCCACATGATTCTGAATCAAGAAAACATGTCAAACTCATTCATATGTTATTTCCTCTTAGTTCAGGGGTTCTAAATTTGAATAGAAAGTATTAATATATATTCCTTCATCTCAAATTATAAGATTAAATAAAATCTCACGTATCAATAAATTTCATTAATACACTTAACAACCTTATCTTTTTAAAATAAAAATATAAATTTTTAAAAATATCCATAATTTAATATATTGAAAAAAGAAGTGATAAATAATTATAAAGAGAGAAAGGGTAATATTAAAATTGATACATTTAATAAAACTTTAACTTACTCAAAATGTCTTATATTTTGGCATAGAAAAACTTCTTTAAATATGTCCTAAAACTTGGGACAGAGGGAGCAATATTTAATATTAAACTCAGCTATAAACAGATGCATTATTTATAAGTCATAATTAAATTATTAACAGTAAATTTATGAATTGCTAGAAAAAACATATATACCAAAAATAATATCAACGTGATGTATATTCTGATATGCATGCGTGGCTTCTCATGATTTACGATTCACGTGATTAATTCCGTAACAAGTTAATCTGATATTGTTAAAATGAAGAGCATGGCCAAATTGGTACATTACATATATAAAAATTAAAGCCGACAAAAAATCATGATTTTCGTACAGTAATATTGTAGTCTATAATCTACGTACTCCATGCTCAATGCTGGGATATGGGAACATGTTTCTTGCATTGTGTGCTCAAATTACATCACTTTGCCACCAATTTTTCGACAGCTAATAATGAATATTTTAAAGCATAGAATATAGATTTCAGACATAACTATACATAACAAGACTTAAGAGAGCGAGCGAAAACCTCGTTCCTATAAATGTTGATTTCTTGAACTTCATACCAAAAGTCAAGATTTGGCCAAAACATTCCGTTGAAGTGGCAATAAATAATTATTACCGTGGCATGTATTTAAGAGAGTTGCATCTTGATCTTCCTCTTCGATGAAAGATAAATTAATTGGATTAATTTATATTTGAACGGTTCTCATGAGATCAAATGATGCTTATAAGCTTAACTAAGATTGTTTTAAAAATGGCTAGCTCTTATCCAATCAAAGTGCAATAATGGCCGCTTCGAACGAGATTTGAATAGTGTATATCCAATTTTATATTGCTAATGATCACTTTCTTTACAAGTCATACTTAACAGTGCAACTCATTATTTCTCAAATTTTATACAATACAATACTCCTCCGATCCCATTTATAAGTCTCATTTTAGAAGATGTATTTGGTCTCATTTACAAGTTACGGTGTATCTTTTTAGATAATATTTAAAAAGTATTTTTAAAATTACCCTTCATAAAAGAGAAAAAGTAATAGGACATTACTTTTTAAATTTGTTATATAGGGACATGTTTAGAATTTTACTTACTTTTATTTCTTATACTTTTATTGTATTGGTATTAATGAGGTTGGTAAAAATGACTTATAAATAGGACCGACGGGAGTACATGAAACTCATTTTTTATTTTAAGTTAATAAGACACGGAATAAAAGTAACCGGTCAATATAATGATATGTGAATCATAAAACATAACAATAAAAAAATTTTAAAAATAAAATAAGATACGAATTATGTCAGGGCTGATATGGGTATGATTTAGAATATGCATGCCCCTCTATATATTACTGATAACATAAACAACTAAATTTCTATAATTATACACACATGCGCGAAGCAATCCAATAGTTGGCAACAATCTTGCCCATGCTCTCTCTCTCTCTCGCTCTTTGATATTATAATCTAATCTCCATAAATTATACACATTGATTTGATTTGAATCAAACCAAAACCTAAGAGGGAACAGTGAAACAGAACGAGAGATCAGAGATGTCAACACTCAACAGTGTTTAACGATTCTCAAAATCTTAGTAACTATTATGAAATTGAACAATTAAATTATTATAATATTATTATAATCACTCCAAATTGATGTGAACACTATCAATTTATATGTGAAGCAAATATCAGCCTAGTGTTTTTTTTTTTAAATAATGTCAGAAGTCTATTCTATCCAATTATGCCAGCTAAACATTAACAAGAACAACAACAACAACAATAATGAAGGACGTGAAGATGAGGGAAGGAAATCCAAGGGGTCAAAAGCTGTCCCGAGTTGTGGCGGTGGGCCCCGTGAGCTTCAAGATTTTGCAATTTGATCACATTACGCACCGCGCATGCAGCTAAGCTCTCTTCTGGAACCTGGTTGGCCCTCACTACTTGCGGAAACCGCGCATGTGACCCCGCACGTGCCTTTCCCTTGTTTCTCGTGTGGGCCATTCCTTGGATCTTGGGTTACTCTGGACCCGTCACGCAACAGATCTTATTCTTTTGCATTATTTAATTTACCAAATGTCAATCATTCACTGCACATATTTCCACTTGATTAACAATTTAGAGCTCGTAATTCCAGTTAAATTTAAATAAATTCAAAAAAAATTGGAGCCAAACTTAACAAAATAATATTTTTAATATTTGGGTCTATTTTGACAGGTTTAAATAGATCCAAAAAAATTTGGACAAGCATTCAGCTTGGCCTGATAAAATACCTAAATAAAAAAATTTACACGTGAAAAGCATCAGCTTCTGAAATTCAGTTCTTCAATAACTTAGTTGAATGGTTCACTTTGAGCTAAATTTTAACCATTGCTCTCTTTGTTAAAAAAAAAATATAGAGTATTTTTAACTAAATTTTACCTCCAATAAAGTAGTTGTTTATTTTTAAACTAACATTATTTTTTTTATATTTACCCTTATTTAATACTCCATTCATTAAAAAATGTAAGATATTTTTTGAAGGGTTGGATATTTAAAAAAAATGTAAGACATTTTAAATGTTTCAAGGTATAATTAATGCATTTTTGCTAAAAGTGCCCTTAATAAATAAATTCATATTTATTTTAAAGTGAAACACCTTATCAAATATAGATAAATGTGAAAAGATAATATTAATTTAAAAATAATTAACTAATTTATTAAATGTTAGATTCAGTTAAAAATGCTCTATATTTTATAACAAAGAAAATAGAGTGTTTCACTTTAAAATGAATATAAAGTAATTTATTTATTATGAATATTTTTTTAAAAAGCACATTAATTACATTTTAAAACATTAAAAATAACTTACATTTTTTAACATTTAATATCTCAAAAAATATATTACATTTTTAATGAGAGGGAGTGTGTTACAACTAAATAATATTATAAAAACTAAATAATTAATTGTTTCTTTAATTTAATGTATATATTTCAATATATTTTATCTCTTATATTTTAAATTTATAAGATATTTTTGAAGAAGATTTGGCATCCCAAAATATAACGCACTTAAAAAAAGTTTTATTAATAATATTTTTCAATGTCACCCTTCCCATATACTCTTCCTTTTTAATATATATTCTTTCACAAATAAAATATTAAATGAAGGATAATCTTAAAAGTATATACTTTTATCATGAAAAAGTAAGAATATAAAATATATTTAATGAGTTTTCTTGTTATGTATGATATTGTCTGAAATTTTTTTATAAATTGTGATAAAAGGAGTGTTATTTTTTTAACTACTTGTATTATTGCACATATCGCAGTTTTCAATGCAAACGATTGAAAAGACAGATATGGTAAAAAAATTAACATCCATGATTTACAAATAATTAATTTAAATAATTTTTTTAATCAACGTGAATTAGTTATCTCAAGTTCTTAAATCTTTCATGTAGAAACCGGCACTTGTCTACTCCTACTAACGAAATAACAACAACAACAACAAAAGTTAACACAAGCGATGAAAGCTCTCATTATTTAAATATATAATTGAGGGCTGTCTGTGTGAATAATATGGCAATTTAGTTGAGGATACATAATTTCAATACTTTTGAGAGATATTCACTGATTTTTTTTTTTTTTAACCAGAAGATCTTCACTGAGTCTACTCGTCATGCGTGCTCAATAATAATAATAATAAATAAAAATAAAGAAGTCGACACGTGTGGGGGGAGGGCAACTGTCGGGATTCGAGGATTACTAGGACCAGCACGACTGTAATAGAAAGGAGGTAGAGAGCCAGGAAGACATCTGACACGTGCTTGTGGGCCCCCCTTCGCCCAACATGGCTGGACCCAGCCCTCCCTCTAAGCACAACGACAAGCAATCCATACGTGCGATGCCATCGACCCTATTTCTACCACACCACTCCATCATTGTTTCCCCACCCCTTTGTAACCCCCCTTCTAAAATAAGTAAATAACAATAAATAGTACTGCAATAACACAATTATTCACAAAGAAAATAATGCCGCGCTTTCATTATCCTGAATGCCTCCGTTATGATTATAATATACACACATGTAATAAAATGTTTAGCATCGCTTTTGATCTTTTATCTTTTTAATATGAAATGAGGATGGAATTAAATTCATACAAAGTTTTAGTTTCCAGGAAAAAATATTTATCGGTCGTGAATCGTGATCACTAGCATGCATTTGTTTTATTTTCTGGACAAAAGGAACATGTTCTTTTATTCAATTTAATTATGCCATTCATAGTGTGGAAATAGTATACTCACAAGCAAGAGAAAAGTGAAAACGCAACGTAAAATATGATAAAGATGGAGTGGGAAATAAATGAGAGATTCAGTGTTAAGTGTAAACATAAAAACGTATATAATTTAACAACCTGGCAAATATATTATAAATTATATAGCTATATCATATTATTATGAAAGTATTAAGAACCACACATTCATATACAGTAGCATTTAAATTGAAAATCTTGATAACAGGATGTGAATGAGAATTAATGATCCAGATGAAAATCCCAGTGGCTGTTGCACAAGATATTGTGGTGAGTACAAATCCAAAAGCCAAAGAAAAAGAAACACAACAATGTGGCTTGGCTCACATGGCCACACCAATAACTCAATTACTCCACAACTTGGTCTCTCTCTCGTTTCATTTATAGCCCTCTCATTCCTCATTTCCTCTTTACAACTCCAACGTCTTCCACCTTCTACCTTCTTCTTCTTCTCCTCCTGCTTATTCCTTCTTCATTGTTTAATTCATTCTTTCAAAAGTTACAGAATCATTTCCTTCGGTTAGATCTATCATCAATGGGTTCCAAAGATGTGTCCAAACTGAAGTGGAAGAGAAGGAGGCAGATGGTGGATGCCGCACGGAGTCGTCGTGGCAGCTCCGTCGACAAGAAGATAAAGAAGCTGCGGCAGCTGATTCCCGGCGGCATCCGGCTGAACCCGGACCGGTTGCTTCTCCAGACGGCAGAACACATCTTGCAGCTGAGGCTGCAGGTGAATGTGTTGAAGGCTCTTTCCGAGATACTCAAGCTAAAATAAGTACACGACGTTATTATTATATGTATTGCTCATTTTGTAATAATCGTTTATTACTTTTTGTGCAACTGGTCTCTTCTCTTCATCTTTATCTTTGTAAGCTCTCTCTACAGACGAAACCCTTCGTTCTTAATGGATAAATATATATTCTCTATCTACTGATTTTGCCTGCAGGGTTATAAATCAAATAGCGATGATGATAAGAAGAGTTACAGGCAATTCTGAGTTCATATCAAGCAAATTTTCCATCACCTTAACTCTGTACAGTCCTTGACTCCTCGTATATAATTACTCGTTTTAATGTCGTATAAGCCGCTCGTAGTCAACACCCACCTCTTATCTTTTTTCCCTTAGAAGTTACAATAATTTATATTATTATTACTAGGGTTTTATATTGACTTCCACTGGGATTACTGAACTTTAACACTCGTACAAAGCCATGCTAGCTTTGGAAACTAGAAGCTGACAACGCAGAAATTCATTTTCATCAAGTCATCTGCGGAAATAGAACAATGCATATGTGTTTGTGTTTTAAAAGGTGGATCCGTGTTTGCTTGGACTGTCAACTCAAGATCCAGTAGATAAACACAAACACCAAACAAACATCTTAGGATTATAATTTGCCACCCATTCTTGATCTCTAACGTTTGTCCTGACTTCAGCTGCTATATTATTGTGCACTTTACCCAATCACACGGCACCAGACTCAGTAAATTAAATCACCCTAGCTACCTACCTACCTAGTGTTGGCACAGCATTGGTTTGATATTTGATTTGAGGAAACTATCTTTAAGAATTATTACACCGCATGGGTTGATCGTGGTAATTTGCTTAAATTAAATGGCCCTTTCTAGGAACATTAAAAAACTAGGGGGCAGAACAACGGAACTATTCAAATGGAGCCTTTCTTGTTCAAATAATGTTAGACTTATTCTTTTGAACACACACAAAACTACAACACCATGAAGGCATTCCGGTTCTCCTCTACATGCCTTCAATATTTGCTTGCTTCCTATTGGGGTCGAGTCAAGTAATTGTAACTTAATCATTAATCATTTGACTTTCAAATGTTGTGATTTATATCCTTCTTACGGAAACTTACTGTGAATATTACTATGTGCAGTTGTCCTCAGTGTAAGGTACCCGCATTTGAACCTTAGCTTAGCTTCGACGCAATATATTATGGTCCGATCACTAGCTTCTTAACATGGAGATATCCCTGAGACGATAGATAAGTAAAGTAGTAAACGATTACATAACGAACAAGTTGCAAAGGATTTAATTAAGTACCACATCTTGTACCAAAAAGTTGTAAGGTTGCTTGTTAATTAGGATTATCCAAGGCTTGGGTCAATGTACGTGGGTTGTAATTAAGGTGTTATATATGTTATTATATACTTTGAATGTAAATAAATGTAAGAGAATTCAATATACCCTCCGGGCATTTAATTTGCAAATCTTTTTTAATTATACGCTAACCGTCATTTAATTTCATACATATATATGTGCCTCTGTCTATGTTGTTCTTGCCGAGCCATGCTTGCTGATAATCTTCTCATCTGTTGCTATTTTTATATAAATATATATTTTGTGATCAATATAATTATGATAAGATGTTGACAAATAATGGAATCTTAATACTAATCTTCAGTATATTCAACATGAGCGATCATAAATAACTTTAGACCTAGTTTAATTTAATTTTAACCCGCTGCTAGGTAGGCTTCAAGCATGTAATTAATCAAAGAACAGCTTGATCATAGTATATCTCAGTACGTGTATACGGTATACACTATATACATCATTCACACGGAACATATATGTCTATTAATTAGGGCAGTTAAATTGAAGGAATTAAAAAGATCACAGAGATATATAATGCCAAATAATATTCCTTTTAATAGGTTAATTAAAAATGATTGTATTTCATTGTGGACAAAACCGATGAATTGAGACAAAAGCACAAGGGCTCCACCACGGCCAACCTTAAACCTACACCGATTCGAATCAAACATCTAGTCAAACTAGCCACGTTCACAAAGGACAGGAGCAAATTGCCCCTAATTAATGTCATCATGGTCCGGAATTATTTTGCTACCATAGATCAGCTCCATACATAAGATATATACGATGGCAAAAAAAAACAGGAAGAAGGTAAGTTTGGTACCTTAGTTTTCTCTTATTCTTACCTATTACTATATTGTTGTTTCAATAATAAATATATCTTTCTATTATTGTTGTTGTTGTTGACTTGTTGTTATTGTTTTATTAATTAAATATACATGGAAAACTTTTGATCCATGAATTTATTTTTCTCAACAAATACTCTTAAACATGTCTTTAAAATGACATTGGAATTAAACGAGATCAGACTAGTTCAAAGTTCAAACATGGGACTTAATATGAATTAAGACAATTAATCCGTATCTTTTTTTTGATAATCAATTAATCCGTATCTTTCTCCAAGTGAATAGTAATTCTTTGCTAATATGAATTAAAATTTAAACCATTTTTCTCTAGGGTAATTAGTTTTTTAGTTTTCCTTGTTTTCGACTTGTTGCCTTAATATTTACCAAAGAAAGAAATTACTGGTTATAACTAATATATATTTAATTGGCATTAATTTTAGGCTTTCACCTTAGTTCCCTCCTCTCCTATTTATAAGACACACTTTAGAAATAATTTTTTGTCCAAAATATAGGACACTTTATAATAATTAAGTCATTTTTTTAATTTTATTCTTTTTTAATTAGCGTAAAGGTATTTAATATAATTGTATTATTATTTAAAGTAAAAAAATAAAAATGCATCTCATTTTTTATGATATCAAAAAAATTCTTAATATATATAAAATGGTTGAAAGTATCCTATAAGAAGGACCGGAAAGAGTAGTAATTAACACAATGGCCATCACGAGCTTTAACTATAATATTTAAGTTGAATTATATTAAAGATCACATTGTAATGCTTGACGGACCAATACATGGAGTTCATGGCTTAATTATACCATGCATCAATGAAACTGTTATCACTTAATTCATTAAAAATTAAACATAATCTTATAAGGAGTTGAATTGCAACTTCCCTACTAATTAAGGAAATAACTTGTTGAGTCGTTATAAAACCTTAATTACGAAAGTTCTACTCATTTTCCCTTATATATAGTATTCTCTCTCTTCATTAATTTGTCAAGCTTACCCTTTCATTGAAAGATATGTAAAATTTTGCAGTCATACCTTATATATATATATATATATATATATATTATAAAAAAAATTCGACTTCTCGATGATGAAGCCAAGTTAGGCTAGCAAATTACACATACTCTTCTTCTTGGGAAGTTCATGGCAAATTATACCCTAGGAAGATAGTTTTCGAAAAATATGATTATTAGTTGAATCACCCCTAATATATATGCATATATAGTCATCTCTAATATAGTTTCATCGAAAAGTCGTTCCAGTTTATCTTTGAAATACACATGCTTTACATATTCAATCTACAATGATTTTGGTAATTGACAAATCTATCTCTAAAAATTTATCACCCCATAGTTTGAAAGCAATTGCTAAAAAAAAAAAAAGAGAGAGAGAAGATAAATATATATGGTTCAAATATACATTTAAATATTCTTTGTTCCAAAAATTTTCAGAGACAAAATCACAGGTAGCTAGAAAGTCAAAAAAAGTATGTTTCCTCTCGACCTTTGATTATTCGCTAATCACATCAGATTCGATTAAAAAATCTTTTGGAAAAGACAAATTAAAGACTGCACACTGACCCATTATTACAGGCAAAATCTTGAACCTCATAAAGACTTATACAATACATTTGGATAACCTGGATTTAGGATTATTCTCTCAAGCCTCAACAAGTCCCATTTTGTGAAGTTGCTTGTAATTTTTTTTTTTTGCCTAATTTAAGAAGGCTTCCTTCTCTCTCCATTTTTAATTTCATCAGAAGAACTTTAATTTATATAGCGCCACCAAATTTAGATGATACAAAAATTTTCCACATTACACTTCATAGTTCATAGGCGTTGCACAATATTATATCTATTCATAATTTTCCGTATGTATATTATTATGGTTACATCTTTCCTAATTAATTAACTTGTTTTCCTTGGAATTTAGTTAATTTTCGCTGGGCCAACAAGGATTCAGTTATCTGATAAAGTTTTTTTTTTTTGCAATAAGAAAAAAATTCAAGGGGAAAAAAGGAAGGGAGAATGGGCCTCATTGGGCTTCTAGATCTTCCAACCTTCCAAAGTTATGTTGACTTTTTGGGCTTTTACTTTTTATTGATATGGACTTCCTGTTCTTTGGGTAATAAATTGTTCTAAATGCATTTTTATACATTTCTAGCTCATTCTGAAAAACAATGGCGTGACACAAAGCTTTTAAATAAAATAAAAATTAAGGAGTAATCCAAGATCTCACAAGATTCATCTTGTCTCGCATCAAGGAGTTTTACATCCACCAAACACAATATTTTAAAGTAAGGCCATCAATATATATATATATATATATATAACTAGCGTGGCTTCTATGCATATACATGATTTATTAAGAAAATTTTCAATTTTCAATAAAAATTTTCCCCATTCACGAGGTTTAGACCCTTAACTTTGTTTAAGAATTGAAAATCGCATTGCACACTGAGCCGAAAATGTGAATGATTCTTGGGGATATATGGGCTTAATCCATTTTCCCTCTTCTGTTTCAAATAGACCCATTTTACAATTCCAAGCATCACTGCCGATAGTGCGCGGGCCTTGGTGCGATGCTCTCCCTCTTTTTTTTTTTCAAAAAAAAACATTTTGGTCCTTCAAAAAAAAAATATAGAAGAATTACATAAGAATCTTACACAAAAAAATTAATTATTATAAATTTTATTAACAATTGAACTAATAAAAATAATAGCATATTAATGTAATTCTCCCAAAAAATATTGAAACCATCAATGTGCTGGTGACAACTATTATTTGTTAATTTAATTTTTTTTTGTGTGTAAAGAATGCATGTTGGGGCTCTATCAAGGTCTCAATATTTTGAATATTACTTATTAGATATAGTGAATTGTTTTTATTTTTTTATTGTTCACTTCACATCAACGCTTCCAACTGGTTTGGACTTTGGACAGATTTTCCAGAGC